AATGAAGCACGAATCAAGCGATCGTTTCCCTGGGCCATCGCGCCCCGTGAAAGAGTAACGCTCCTTTTCGGGACCTGCGATGAACGTCGTCATTTCCTAATGGCCTCAGGCCTGACCCGCGTTTCCGGATCGCTTTCCAAAGACGCAGCAGCGGCTCATTACCTCGAGTGTTTGAATTTGTAGGTAGACCTTCATCCTCTTAATAGTCCATCAACATAAAAGCGCAACCCTCTCTTAAGTTTTATAACCGTCTCAGGGACCTCCTCTCCCATGATGTCGTTGCCGAGAATGCCGTTCATCGACGGGCTCACCAACCGGAGGTTGTCTTGCAGTTCATCACTGGCATTTGCCTTCACTGCTATCGTAAGTGAGGGGCACGCTTCAGCAGGCCATATTTTAACAACCCTCCCCCCCCCCTTGCCCTCTGAAAACCACCACGCAGTGATAACAGGAACCGGAGGTCGCAGATTGGTTGATCGATGTTCCGCTGAGCTGATGTCACAGATTGCGCCGGTTTTGCCTCCATCTTCAGTCCTAAATTGGCCAAACTCTCGCGAGAGCCAAAGCAGCAGACATGGGCCGCGCCATCTTATCCAGCCACTCCCGCTGACTTCCAATCACAAATCGAACATGGCTGCTGTTAGATTTTCGATTGGATAAGCAAGTCAGGCATTGAGAGTGGAGCGAGTGGATGTGCAGCCAGCTCCCTTTGAAAGTCATGATCCGTTGTCTCCCAATACAATGCTATAAATATCATACAAGCTGTAGACATGAAATACATTTCTGCCTTTTTTTGGGGGTGGGGGGGGGGGTCACAGGACAGTACAACCACAAATATACAGGCGTCGCCCTTTTGCCAAATGTGAAATGTCTCTTTAAAAATGGGAGCCTTCACATGAGCTTGCTTGACTCTGTCGTGTGGTCAGAGTGTGTGAGAGGGTCCAAGTGTTTCTGACAGGTGGCTCCATTGTGTCTCCCGCCATATCCTCAACAGTCGCAGCCTCTCTAGTGAGGACACGACAAAAGGTGAAGGTCAGCGAGGCGGAAGAGGAACATCACACGATTGAAAGATCACCGTCTTGCGTCACCCATTTATTTATTTTTATTTTTTGGGGTGCACGACATGGGTCACAATGTACGTGTTTGGAACGGTACTTGAGATCTCACCACACAGAGATCTGGGGAGGTGTGTGTGTGTGTGGGGGGGGGGGGTTAATACGTTTATGCCATGCAATAAAATCCAAGCTGGGGATACATTGTGGTCATCGTTTTAACAAAGAAAAAAAAAAAAAAAAAACAAAGCCCAGTGAGTGGAATGGAACGTTTGCCTTTCTCGAATTCCCCCGGAGGAACTTCTCGTTCTATTCTGTGAGTGCACTTCATTGTTAATATACATCTCCTTGCATCACTTGAAACATCACTATGGAGCCTTTAAGTGTGCTCACGAGGGGGAGGTTTAAGTAGAGGGCTGAGGCGGGAGAAAGATCTGGATCACCTTTAAGCCAAACAGGAAGCGGCAAAAATGTCCGCTCATCCTTCTCTCTTGTGAGTCACAGTAAGAGGCTCGTTGACAATGCATACAATCATCATTTGGCTTTTATCAATTCAAGTAATCACATTGCCTCCCAAGCAGGCACTCTCTGTGACTCATTTGGGCTTTTCTTTCCTTCAAACAAATCCATTTTACTTCGACGCGTTGCCTCTTCCCCCATTTCCACTTGGACAGCACATCGCGTCCAACTCCAAACATTCCTCGCCTACCTGCTAAATCACGGCCGCTGTCGTGCGAACAAGTGAACATTTTAGGGCATGATCGTGGCGATCGGGTGTTGTATTATTTATGTGCTCTGCCGGCAGGACGCGGCAGCGAATCAAAGTGATTTACATGAGCGTGGGTTCAACTAACCTGAGCGCCGACCGCGGAGCTGTGCAAACATTTGAGAGAACGAGGGGGGAGGCGGGAGCGGGAGAGGGGGGCGGGGGGGTTAAAACTTGTAATAAATAAAGAGGTAATGTAAACTTATCAGGTCGATACACTAAAAAGATTAAACATAAAAACGGAGATCAGCCAATAGCCATAAAGTACCACTGGAAATGGTCGTGTCTTCTAGTGTTGTATCTAGATGTGAATAAACTGGATAATGTGAAATATCAAAATGTATTTAAAGTGCCTCATCTTTCAAGCATATTATTTGATTTTGATTTTGAATCAAAAATTCTAACTGCAGGCAGCAGTTAATGTGCTGTCAGACTTTGTGACAGCATGCTTTGCTACCATTAGAAATCTTCGATCGGGGATGGGCAACTTCAATGCTAACGAGACCTTACAAGTTTTCATCAGGGCTACTTATGGGCAACCATGTGGTGTATTTTATTTTTTTTCTTGGTGCAAAGGGCTCTCTTACATAAAAATAACCATTCAAGGAGGGCACAAAACCTTTGAACAAAAAACAAGAACTTGTATTGGACGGGGTTTTTTTTCACAAAAATATCAAAATTGTAATATTCTTGAAATACTTGGTTCTGCTTAACATTTCCAAATCTATTAAAAAAAATATATATATATATATATATATATATATATTAGGCCTACTCATGTATGTAACATAGGGCAGTATAAGACCCAGTGTGAGCACAAGCAAGACATGTCTGCCGACATGAAATAACAGTCGCACTTGCAATTGAACAGGATGTTGGCCATTTTGATTTTAAACAGCCATTTTGGGTCAATTTCTTGGCTTTTACGACTGGGAAATTGACCTATGAAATGACTATGTTGTCAACCCTTGAAATAAATTCAAAGCCTTTTAGTTCCCAAGCATGCTTCTAATGCGATTTAATGAGATCTATGTTGTTAACCATTGCATACAGGGTCAAGGAAATAGTTTAAATGTATCCGAGACGGTAACTTGTCATTTGAGCCGCTTTCAGCAGCCCGCGCGGTCTCATGAGAGGACACCCTTCTTCGCAATTAGAGCCGAGCGTCTTGTGACCGCGCCGCCTCATCAGCGGTCAGCCCGACCGGCACAATGAGCCCCCTTCATGAGGTTCCGAGAAGACAGGATTGATTCGCTCGACCCAGCGCAAGACTTCTTCATTCATACAGTCCAGTAAATAACAACTGTGTGTATCTTAATGGACGCTGACGGGGCTCGCGGCCATATTTCTTTCTGACTGCATTTGTCTCAGTTGGCTTTTTAAATTGGCTTTATGTCGTCGTGGTAACTTTAGGGATGTTCCAGTTTGTGTTTCATCTTATGAGGAGTTGCATAACTTCATTGTTTTCCTCCATTTATCACCTTTCTGCATTCAAGTAATGCAGCTCTGCTTACCTTTTGGGCCTTGACATGATAGCGGGCTTGTCCTACCAATGGGAGATTTCTGTATTGTAGTTCCTCTCCATGATCGTGTTTCACACCGTGCACTAAGCCATTACTTGAAAGTGTCTCTGGATCGTCACCCACCCTAGTTGATCATGCCATTCAAACACTGTGACGGGTACACTTAAGTCCGTAAACTAGCCCGATTCGTGTGTAGCAGTGCGACAGAAGTGTTCGCTCTCACACGCATTTTGAAAACAAGACAGATCAGCCAAAAAAATGACTTTATTGTTTCAATTCACGCTCAATGGGTGGGCACTTGGTTGCAAGCCTTTAAAAAGTCAATTCGTCATCATAGGTCCCCCTTTAAAGCAGCGCGAGAAGTCTTATTCCTGCATTTTTGGTTTGCAAGCTAACACTCTCAGCCCACGCCACCCATCACTTCTGTTTTTTTTTTTTTAAATGTACTGTATTTTAATGCCTTTAAAGTTATGCTGACTTTGTAGGAGTTGCAGGTGCCCCCTGGGCACTGGCCAACTTGCTGTCAAGTCCTTCTTTATATCGTTTCTCAACTCACTTCAAATAACGTTTGAACTCAGAATCCACGGAAGCTTTGCGTGATTTCACAGCACATCGACTTTTCATACTGACTTTAATGGTCACGCATAAGATTTGAAGACCTCCTCGGTGTTGCGCTCATCTTCCGCTGCTTTCGCCTCGTCGCCATGCCCATTATGAGCAATAACGCCTTAAACGTTAAAAAAGGGGAAAAAAAATGCCTTGTTTGCCATCTCATTTCCTGGAACAATAATGAGTCGAGGTAGAGACACCATATGGTGTCGTTGCATCAGCAGTTTTTGTTGGGTGTGTGTTTTTTTTTTTCCACAAGTGTTGTACATTAAATATTCATCTTTATTGGAAATGTATCATCTTGAAAGTCGTGTTGGACCATGTGGGCGCCGACTATTGTTGGCCCACTCAAAGATGCAAACGCTGACAGCTCTGTGGGCTGGTCGAGGTTAAAGGTGCGCCGAGTGAGTATGGGCAGAAGGACGGATCGTGCGTACGTGTGTGTGGCGGGGCGTGTTGTGTTGGCTGAGGATGTGTTGATTTACAGCTCCGCTCCTGCCGTTCAGACGGAAAAAGGATGGATCGTGTCTGACTTTTCACCATTTATTACTGTCATAACTTTGCGTCTCGTCTTTTATGAACTGCGCTTTTTAAGAGACGTTATGATGTTCGGCGAAACTGCGAGTCGTTTGTTTCCGACATGTTGCATGTGAGCCATCCCCAAAACAACAAAAGATGCCATTTGGGGGATTTTTAAAATGCAACTTGGATTGTCATTACTCTGGTCATAGTTTGTAGTGACGTACGACGACAGTCGGGTCCTTCAACAGTGAGACGGCAACGGACTTTTTGGCACCGCAATGAATTTGAAATGAAACGAACTACACGTGCGCTTGAACTGCAGTCTTTTAACTGTAATGTGGGGGGGGGGGGGGTTAGGGACTGGAGTCCGTCAGGCACGGGCCCACAAACGTTCCGTCGGAATTTCTGCACAGGTGACGACTGTTGTAAATGCCCACCTCCGTTCGTCTTTGCGGCAGAGACGTCGCCGAATGGCCGCAAAATGTGATTTCTGATGCGTAAGCTGTCTGTTCTTGTCTGTCTGTGCAGATGTTGGAACCAAAGGTGGACGCCCCCTCTTGTGAGCTGGGCGGAGTCGGCGGGGATCGAGGGGAAGTGTGCCTCCACCTGCCCCCTCGCACTTCTGAAGGGGAGGAGAGCAGCCTGTATCCGTCCAGCCCCTCCGAACCCTTGACCCTGAGCAGTCCTCACCCCTCGGAGCCGCTCAGCCCACTAAATGAAATCTATCTGCCCCTTGGCAGCCTGGGCGGGTCCGAGGAGCGCCACAGGGTGCCCCCCACGCCTCCGCCTTCCACCGAGGGAGAGGACTGGAAGAGCCTGGACGGACATGAGATGGAGATCTGGAGAGAGGGCAACAGGAGAGAGGGAGAGTATGAGGAAGAGGAGGGTGCGAGCGGGAAGAGCGAGTTGGAGGAGTTGGCGGAGCGACAGGAAGAGGAAGTTCACCTCCACCTGCTGGTGTCAAACGCGGACGAGGACAACGCTTCCGAGCCGCCCGACACAAACGCCCCTCCTTCGTCCTCCTCGTCCTCATTCGTCATCCCTGAGCTGCGCCTCGACCGCTCTTTCAGCGCCGACGCCCTCTCCTCGCCCAACACCGACGAAGAAGAATATGATGAGGAAGAGGAGGAGGAGGAGGAGGAGGAGGAAGACGACGACGACGATGACGACAATTCTGAGGAGGACGACAGCGACGACGCCTACCTGCAGCGCAGCGACAGCAAGCGGCGCTCCATGGTGGAGGGCGCCACCTGCGAGAAGCACGGCGGCGGGGGCCTCAGCGTGCAGAATTCGCTGCGCCGACGCACCCACAGCGAGGGCAGCCTGCTGCAGGACCCGCGCACGCCCTGCTTCACCTCTGACAATGCCATCAACTGCTTAGAGACGGGCGGCGGGCGCCACAAGGGCGGCTGGACGCTACCCTCGCCCAAGACCCTGAAGAAGGAGTTGACCAAGAACGGAGGCTCCATGCATCAGCTGTGCATGCTCTTCTCTGGGAGGAAGGTAAGCATGTCCACACTCAACCGTGTTTTTCTGTAGCTGGCGACTAAATGAAGTTCCGGAAGAGATGTCACAAAAGACATACACCAAACTATAAAGAAAAATAAGGACCGTTATAATATAATCGCTCTATGTCTGTGACCTCAGCTCTCTGAAGCCATGTGTTTTGTTTTTTTCCCCCCTCACATTCGTAGTTTGGATTTGTAGTATAACTTTTGTGACTCAAGTCCTGGAACTTTTCTGACATGCCTCGTCTTCACAAAAAGACACGACGGTAGGGCTGGACGATTATGAAAAAAAAAATGATAATCATGAGTACACACACTAAACATACACATTTTTAAAAAAATCTTTTCATAGCGAAGATGCATATTGACAACCGAGCAATTACAATCTGAAGCACCAAATAATCATGATGTTATCCTCATGCCTGTGCGTACAAAATGAGACACAACGACAGGTAAACAAGCATCCTTGTTTACCTGTAGTTGTGGGGATGCCTCACTGACGAAACAGATTTCTGAGCCCTTGACATCTGAAGCAGCAAGCCGTCAGGAGTTTGATCAAAGATGCGCGCGCGCGCACGCACACACACACACACACACACACACGCACACACACACACACACACACACACACACACACACACACGGAAACGCAAACTGAGATCTCGGAATCTCATCATCTTCCCATCGCAAATTGACACAACACATTGCTGAGCTCTTGACATCTGTAGCATCAAGAAGTAATGAGTTTAATCCAAGGTGGGCACACAGACATCCAATCAAATCCATGTGTCTGTGCAGACACACACACATATATGCACGCACAGAAACGACACACACGTTCTTGTGTCATTAAGTTGTGGGAATGCACATAAGACCCTCTCATGAGCCTCGGCCTTTGACATTTGACGCACCGAGCAGTCATGAGTTTAATCTAAGGTGCACGCACGCATAGAAATGGCAACCCTCCGTAACTAATTGCAAACACGCGTTCTTGTCTTCCTGCAGTTGTATTGATGCCTTGTTCATTAAATGCGCTTCCCAAGACCTCTGCATCTGACGCACAAAGCATCGGCATGACCGTCTACTCACCCTAATTTCAAGTCAAGTTTTTATTTCCGAAATAGAGACAAGGCTGTGTGACAACACCCCCCACACACACACACACACACACATACACTGGTGCTCCGACAGTCGCGGAGATGCGTCATTGACATAATGTATTCCTGAGCCGGTTGCATCTGAAGCCCAGGCACATAGTCACGCGGCGGCCTGCCCTCAATTTAACCTTCAACGTAAACCCAAATCTTCCTGGACATCCACACAAAATATGGGAAATATTGAACACTCACTGGCCATTTTATTAGGCACACCGCTACAACTAAATGACACCCAGCAGGCAATTCTCCGTTTTGACTGAAAATGTCAACGAGGGAACCATTTTCCAAAATGTTACTTGGACTTGAAGCTTGATCCGCTCCGTGCTGACTTCACTGGATTCTATAAAAAGAGTGACATCAAGTGGCCACAGGGCGCAAGTGCACTTTAGGAAATACAATACTGTACAATTTTCACTCCAATGCATCTTTATTTATTTCATACTAAATGGCACTGTTTGCTTCACTCAAGAACAAAAAGTGCCAACGCTACAAAACATGATGGTAAGAAAAAATGTATAAAACTGTCTTGTATCACTTATAGCCATGGAACAACAAAAGACATACTTTGTATTCCTAATTTTGGCTCAAATTGACCCGCTCAACTGTCTGCATATGGAAATCTAATGTGTTTTTCGTAAAAAGTCTTTTAAGTGCAATTATGAATTGGGGTACCGAACTACCTGACACGTTCGTCGTCACCACAGGAATCTTCTACTGAGGACTCCCGAGGCCTACTTCCTTGCTGCAAATACTGCAGTGCAAGAGAGTTTCACTATTTGTCCAGCAGAGGGCAGCGTGCATCACAACCTCTTTGTGTCAGAAGCGCGTTTGAGACGGCAGACTTTGTGGCTTTTGTGTTTTGATTCTGCTCGTGGGTTTTACAAAGTCTCCGGGGTGGTTGTTGAGAGCTCCTTATCACTCCATGTCATGCATACATTCAAACCTATCACTCCTTGAATGCTTCGATATGACAAGAAGTTTGCTCATCATTGCGGAGGACACTCAATCACTTTGGGATGAGTTTGAGGCGAGGACTCTCCTCCCTTATCTGGCCGCTCCGGCAGCCGAGCTGTCAGCACATTCGGCAGCCTTAAATGGCATTGAGGTTGTATATCCGTGAGTGTGCTCGTGAGCAAGAAGCGGTCCCTCTCACAAGGCCCGAGACGATTGGTCCTGCCCGAGTCAAGGCCAACCGGACCACCACAGTTGGCGTCACGGGCAAAGCTCCCTTAAGGAGTGCGTTTCCACTATTTAATGTCATCTGTCACCCTCGCCCGCATAGGCGACCGTAAATCTTGTGGCCGAAAGTAAACGTGTGTGGGCAGTGTTTGTGTGTATGCATGGCAACCCGCAGATAGTGATGCATGTCGCTTGATGTCTCCAGTTGGCCAGAACAGCAATACATGAAGAGAATATGGCGTTTCCATTTTTTTAAGATAATAGTACGTAGTAGGGTGGCCAGGTGGTCGTCTGGTTACATGCAAATGTAGACTGTAGGAGGTGTTTATTTGAAATAACTTTAGCAAAATCAGAGCGACTATGAATGCTGCTAAAAACAATAACAGTAACGGTCATGATATGTACCCTCAAATAGCAGTCTGAGGCACAAAATAAGAGGTTTTGTGTTGCCTAATCATGAAAATAATTACATTTGTCAAAACATACACACACACACAAACACTGCAAAATGAGTCAGAAATTTGAACCCATCTTCACCCGTCAATTCCCAAAGCTTCATTATAGCAAAAGACCCTTCCCCTTTCGTGCCCTGAGCAATTAGAGGAGATTATTTTGGGCCCGGGAAGAAAATTATAAATTCCCAAAGAGTCCTTTTTGGGTAAAGCACTGCAGCTCCGCTCCTTGTAGACGAATGTGTTGTTCTGATGAATGCGCACCACGGTTTGGCTCTGCACGTCACACTGCTGCACGTGAGTGGAGCCGAAAATAGACTTCCAAGATTATTTCATTGGAAGTTTATGGAAACTGTGTTGAAATATCTGCTGATGATGAGTGTTAATGTTGCTTGGTCTAAATGGGAATTAAAAAAAAAAAAAAAATCCGAGCCAGGCCGCCGTACTTGTCGCTGCCAGCACGTTCTGGAACAGTCAATTGATCAATTGAATCATAAGAGTCGTGTGTCCTTTACGCAGAAAGCCGGCACAGGACAAAAGTTCAAATCAATGTCAGGCAGCACAAAAATACTAAACGTGAACGGGTAAATATTTACGGACATGAACAAACTCTGCGGACAGTCAACGCAGTGTCGCGCCGTGCGAGTCTATTGGTAAAAACTGGAACAAACTCAATTGCAAAGCTTCGCCATTTATGGTGCTTAACGGCACAGCTTGCAATAAATTCAACCACCAACTGACTTTTCCAGTAAACATCTTAAGTGTGCTCTCCCGCTCTAGCTTTGGAACTTCCCTTTCTACTTTATGCCACTGGAAGCTTAAAAACTGGACAAGTATCTGAAATACGACTCATGTTGTTTATTTTTTTTTTCTTTCATTTTGAATTGAACTGAGTGATTTCAACCACGAAGTGGATGTTAATTGTGCTGGTGTGTTTTTTAAAATATCGTTATTTTCACCAAAGCGAAAAAAATATTGGTGTGGAATCACAGAGGGAGATAAATGGACTTGTTGGACATTTGACCGATCATCTTTTGTTCAACATAAATCCAAAAGAAATGTTTTTTCTTGATCAGGAGAGGAGAGTAGTTTAATATTCCCGTCAAAGAATTGCACATAAATTGGGCTTTTAATTAGCATTGTACATTCGACGATTCACCCCGTCAACTATACCATTATCGTCACATTATGATATTTCTGCAAGATGAAATTTTCGATCCAGGAAGAATCTCATAAACAAGAATTAAATCAGAAATGGTTCACAACCTGATTCAAAAGTTCACTTAAAAATAAGCATGTACAGTCCAATCTCGTTGCAACGTACCTCGAGGCACATTCCGAGTCGGTACGTTATAACGGTAGTTCGTCCTAACCATTTCCAATAAAATGGCCGCCGACTACAATGTATACTACAATATGAACATTTATAGTGGACCACTACAAAAACTATCCACTCAGCACAAAACAATGTCAAATTCTGATGAATGGCACATTTACTCTCATGGAAACCCCGGTGTGTTTACAACAAAACACAAAACGTCCAAACGTCATTGGCCGACGTAAAACAAAGCTCACGTTAAAACTTATGTAAGTCACCGGTACAATGAAGGCTTCTCTTGATGTTTACCTTCTGCAGGAGACGATCCAGACGGCCTCGTGCTCGTTGCCGCGTCATGTGCGTCGGTTGCCATGACGGCATTCGTACGGGTCGGTCGGTTACGCGGTTGACAATAAAGCGCCGGTGGCGTCATTGCACTTGTAGACTCGCCTCGTGCTCGTTGCCGCGTCATGTGCGTCGGTTGCGATGACGGCGCCGGTCGCCCTGGCATGCGTACGGGTCGGTCGGTTGCGCGGTTGACAATAAAGCGCCGATGGCGTCATTGCACTTGTAGACTCCAGTCGAAAGAAGAAAATGTTTTGTCGCTGGCTCAACCGCCGCTTCCCGTGAATCAAACTGTGCAGCGGCAATGACGGTTCTAACGGTAATTCCATCTGCGAACGGCTTTTCACTTGCGCCAGCCACCCTTTCACCAGCACAAAAGGTTAAAACGGGGGTATGGCAGGAACACATTGTACTCGATTTATGATTTATTTTGCATTGGACTCACACTCAGTGACGCTCACGAGGTGGTACGAGTCACGGTGAAGAATGCACCATGTCCTCGCGGGAAGCCGCGTGGGTCAAGGGAGCAATTAAACGCAAAGGT